ACTCTTCGATTTTTATTCAGCCAATTTGGCTGAACCGAATTTCAAAATTTTGGTGTCAAATGAAAGAACATAAAAATTAAGAGAGATCGCAGGAAGCCGATTTTTGAATTTCGATTTTGCTTTTTTGCAATTTGCGATTGAATTTTTTCAATATTTGATGTCGTATATCTCGTGACCTTGACCTTTGATGACCTTGACCTTTATAGGGTCAAAGGTCATTGACCTTGGCTATCATTTGATACTTTGACCTTTGACCTCCGACATGTACTTCCGGTTTTATAGCTATCCGTAAAAAGCCAAATTCGCAACTTTGGACTGCTCTAGCACGTGACCTAATTAATCTAGAGGGTTAATTTTTTTCGGTTTTCTAATGTGCTTCTCATGCACTTTACATAGATATAGAACAATTGCTTTTATAAAGCAAAATTGAAATTGGTGATTTTTTCAAATTTGAGTTTAGTTTTACCATATTTGTGTCTTTTTGATCTTCGTGTATGTATATCTTATGACCTATTCTATGTAGAACCTTGATATTTGGAATACAACTAGACACTTTGAATATGAATTCACCTATGACAAAAAAATGGGGTGGGCGTGGCGCACCCGGGTTGAATTACTAATTGTTTACATTTTGCGGCTGGGGCATAACTCGCATAGGATGCGTGTGTTCAAAAAGGGACTTTGCACACAATTACCTCATCCTTTTGGCCAGTTTGTGTTAACAGCTCAGTTGTTTCAGCTTTATAGTTCCAAAAAAGGAACGGGTTTTAACATTTGGATATTTTCATTTTTCGATTTTGACCTTTATTGACATTTGTTGACCTATATCTTTTGACCTGAATAATGTAGAAGCTTGAAATTTAAAACACAACGTAACATTTGGAATATCAATTACCCTATGCAAAAAAATTAAGGTGGGCGTGGCACATCCGGGTAATATTACTCATTATTGATATTTTTGGCCAGGAGCATAACTCGCAAAGTATACGTTTGTTCAAAATGGAACTTTGCATACAATTATCTCACGAATTGAGCCACTTTGTCTTAGAAGTTCGGTTGTTTCCGCTTCTTAGTCAAAAAAAGGAA